AGATTGAATGCAAAGTACAGGGTATATTACCTGATTGGTATTGACCAAAACGGCTTCAATAGTATCAGAATCTTCGTTGGTGGTATCCTTGACCGAAATAGACAGGGCATTTTCTTTACTACCTGCACGATCTTGTGCCTACAGTATTTAACACGAAGCTGTAGTAAATTCAATTAAAAACATATAGCGGATCAAAAGAACGTACAAACAGGTAATTAGAACCACTTGATTTCGAGAGGGAGAGTAGGAGAACAAGTTGAAAATGATTCAATAGCGGATAAAAATTCTCACCAAATCGACGGGAAAAGGACGCTCGGCAACGGCATGGCAGAGCGTTGCAATAGCCGCTTGCTGTTGCTCCGTAAGAGGAGCATTCTGGACATCAATTGGATTAGCGGATCAAGAAAATGACGAAAAAATTGAAATCCAAACAAAATGCAAGGATCTACGAGGGCGAGAGAGAAGAAATGGAGCAAACAGATCTAGGCGCATAAAAGTTACGAGAGCGAGATCGGAAGAGTGAGAAGTAAATTTCATGATTCAAAGTTGGAAAATCGGAAGAATTGATGAATTAAAATATGAAATGATGAACAAACCTGTTCCCAGGTAGAAGCAAAATTGTAGCCCTTGGAAATTGCCCCGGACTTGGGTAAACCAAGAGGACCAGCTTTGGCTGCCATGGAGTTCTGCTGTTCTTCGACTTCTTTCCCACTCAAACTCCACACTCTTAATACCTCTCCCAACGCACTTCTACTCCAATTCTCTATTGCATCCAACACATTGGTAGACCAAGAGCCTTCCAATCAGGAGTCTTTGCGGGTCGGGTCGAGACACCCCATTTCTTTTTTTTTTTACTTTTTTTTTAATACAAACGTGTGGGATGGGAAGCTCCAAATGCACGTGAAATTAAATATTTATTTTCTAAATATATTAAGATGTCGTTTAATTATACATTACATATAACAAAAAAAAATTTAATTATTTCTAAAAAATCTTAAAAATTATACTAAATTTTGTAAAAAAATATTTTAACGACATCATCACTTTTTTATATCAATTTTATGCATTATTCTTTTAGTATATTTATATATTATATTTTTTAATATTTATAGAGTTGTTAAATTTGTTGATTATTTAGAAAACTATCATCTGTATTTATAAAAGTATTTTTAAGATTTATTATTGTTATTGGTCAATAATTAGAATCAAAGGTAAAGCAATAAATTACAACATCTTCGAATAATTCAAACTAAAAGAGTTATCTACGATGAACTTAGTAAGTCATATGAATTTTTTTAGGATTATCATGTTTGCTTATTTGCTCCTACACTCTACATAAAATGTAAAATATTTTATAATGACAACAAAAATATTTTTGAAGCATGAAACGACATTTTATATTATTTATTTATTTATTGTCTATTATGGTAAAGAAACTGATCTTACATATTTTGGAAAGTATGTCATACTAAAATGTGAGTTCTAGCTTCTTTACCTAAACGTAAATCCTTAAGGTTGAATATTTTTTAATTTTCCAATATTATTATTTTGAAAACAGTCAAAATCAAAACAATAATAATAATAAAACGTCAAGATATGTGAATTAGTTTGGCATGTTTTGTATTCTTTTATGAATTGGTGGTGGTGATGGAATACACACATGTGCAAATGGATGCTCTATTTCATCCCGTAATTAGAACATGGGATTAACTTATCTCAACAAACACTTTGACCCAAACATTATTGTCCCTTAAGCATTGAAAATTAAAAAACTAAAATATTAATTTATGGAAATTTAAAGGGTAAGATAGGAAACATACATTCTCCTATAGATCATGATGCTTCATATTATAGTATGGATTATACCATATGCGGATGGCAACACTCTTCTTTACGTAACCACATCCATTGGATTAACTTCTTTCAACAGATATCTTAACCAGAATAATTGTTTTTGTCAACATACCAAAAATTGAATGACAAAATATGAATTTATAGAAATTTAAATGACAAAATAGGAAAGCAAAAATTCAATTAATAAGTACGAATATGAAAATACTCAAATATTGATCACTAACTCATGAGTTTAGAAACCCAAGTGTTTTTCTTTTAAAGAAACCCAAGTGTTAATAAATATATAAACATAAAAATAAACATGAAATAAGGAATTTAAAGGTAGTTAGCTCGGGATAGTAACAACCAATAGTCTATTTAGGACAAATATGAACATTAAAACTTTAAAAAAAATCATTGATATATTAATATGAAAATGTAGTTTTATACTCTACCTCGTCATCAAATAAAATAAATTTATGGATTTTTGAATCTTTGGTGTTTCCCTTGCGAATTACGAAAACTTCCGATTTCCATTATTTTTTACAATCTTTGATTTTTCTATGAGAGAAAAAGCCATCATAGTCATTTTGAGAGAGAAAAAAAAAACACAATTTTTATGCATGATCAGTATTTAGTTTTCTTTCGTGTTATATAGATGTCTGTAATCGCATCTATTTGGAGTGGACGTATCATTTCATCGAATCACACCTCATGGATTAATTAATCTCTTTAAAAAAATAATATCGGTCTTTCGGTTTATATAAAATTAATTTTCAATCACAATCGCACACATATATGGATGGACACACCACTTCTATCAATAGGCACATCGACCCAACTATTGCATCCCGTAGAACTTTTAAGGGTAAAATATGTATTATCAAAAAGTTGAGGGCAAGTGTGAGAGGCAAAGATTCTCCTTCCATGACCCCATTTAATAAACAGCAATAGAGAGTATTTTGAGTGAGCATCAAACTGAAGTCATCTAAAGTAGGCTTGTAGTAAAATGTCTTTAAACTTGACTGCTGAAGACATGTAAAAAAGAAAGTCATCAAAATTCATCAAAAGTATTAAAACCATACAAAAAGTAATTTTCTTCTACTTTTTTCAATATGCAAAAGAAAGTTACAAAAAATTCATCAAAATTATTCAGTCTAATATAAAAACTCATTTTCTTCTACTGTTTTTAACATGCAAAACAATCACATGGAAATTCTGACAATTCAGAAAAACAATCTTCTTCAAATTCTTGCCATTCAGCATCAGCCAATCCAACAAAAGAATCTCCCCTAGCTTCTGACAATTTATTTGAACTAAACATATACCATCCTCTTATTGTCACGCCAGGAATAGACTCTAACATGGATGATAACCTTCCACCACCAAGCTTCTTCGGATCAAGAGGATAGTCATACTGCCTTCTAAATAGTTTTTTGAAACCTCCAATATAATATCTTGCTCCGTGCTTCTCCTTCAAAATGTTGTCGGCCAACTTTCGACAGTCAGCCAACATCTCAAATTTGTGACTGTTCGGGACGAACACCACAACTTATCCACAGAAAATTTGTACTCAAAAGAAACTTGACAAATGAGTGTTGATTAACACGCTTCCCAACTAAGTCTTTTCCTCTAACCAAGACATTCCACTTCCATGAAATGTTTAACACGCTGCATAAAATATTCGAGATAGTTTCAGCACATTATGTCAGAATATTATAATTTTTCAATTTCAACGGGTGCAGACTGTGTCAAAAAAGTTCTCATCTCCGAAGATAAGAAAAATCTGTGCAGAAGGAGGATTTTGAGATGTCTAGTGTATGAGATAAAAAAAGGAGAGACATGGTAGCACCGCTCCTCCCACCTACATTGAAAAAATATCATAAATCATATGACATTGTGTGGAGCACAATTACCTCTATCTTATGTAGTCCGTTAAATAAAAATGACCCTTGGGTGAAGAAAAAATTGATTGATTTCAACATCTAATCATAAAATCCCCAAACCCTCCTCCTCATTGTTTTAATAAAAAAATTAGCAAACAATGCCCTTAAAATGTATCAAGCATAACCTTCATTATCACCATTTTGAAATCTCTACATTATTATTTATCTCTCCCATGGAAAACAAAGAAAAGAGGAAAGAGATTTCTACAATCTACTTCTACTCCTAAATTTATGTTTTAAAATTTTAAATCGTATTTATTAGTTGTTGTTAGTTACTACGAATAATTTCCAGGTCAATCCAACCAGGGGTAATTTGTAGTCTTGTGCACTACATCTAATAGACATTCTTTATGTCTTCCTCATCTAATGGTACCTCCTAGATTAACTTATCTCTTTAAAAATATATATCGATATAATCAATATATTAGTTTATATATAAATAATTATCGACCCCAATCGCACCCACGTGCAAATGGATACACTATTTGTTTCAACACACAGAAGTTTCAAGGGAAAAATATGTATTTATTAAAAAGTTGAGAGCAAACTAGATACGCATAGTTTATCCTCCATAATCCCTTTTATATATAGTATACATTTTTTAAAATAATTTTTTTAATGAAATTTCTAATTAACGGTTTAACTTTTAATAAAGTTGAAGGCAAACTAGGTACGTAAAGTTATATATCTATAATATATTAAAAAGATAGCATCTCTGAAAAACATTTCTGGACAATGATACCCCTATATTTTTTTGATTAATTACATTATTGCCATTAATGGTTACTATTACATGCCACCTCTATTTTTTAAATTAATTACATTCCATTAATGCTCACTATACATTCCATTAATGCTCACTATTATATGCCACCTTATTATTTTTACCGATTTACCCTCACTCCGTATTTATAATAGAAACGTTAAATTAAGACATTTATTTGGATTTGGACTTTTCATTTTTTTCCCTATTACTTTATTAAATTTGGTGGCCACTACCCATGATTTCATACGTTTTCAGTTACAAATAGTTGCAATTTATTAGATTGACCTTTTAATTCCTTTTATGTTACTTATTAAACATGGAAAAAATGTATAAATATGGTTAAATTAACAATTTCCATATCCGAATTTGGTCATTGAGGAGCTCTCTTTTTGGTAATTCAAATTCTCAAATTTGGTAAATCAATATTCTTAGATTGTAAAGATGAATATGGTGATTGACGACCTTAGGCCTTTTCAAAAGGGTTGGACAATTAAGGTTACCATTGTTCGAAAATTTTACATACAAAATGTGACAAACAGAAAAGGGGAACCATTGAGAATCACGAAATTCATAGTGCTCGACACAAGGTAATTTTTTTATTGAGCAAATTAGTCTTTGTCGTCCAATTTTTTATCTCTCCCACTTATCTATAATAATGTTCCACAATGCAGGGAGTTTATATTCAAGTCAATTTGTTTAACGACTTGATTGAAAAGTTTGGAGACATGTTGGAAAAGGGAAAAACATATGCGATCAATGATGGAAACATCAAACCAATTAATGTGAGATACATGAATGTTCATTCCAAAATTGAGATATCATTATCTCAAAACAGCGAGGTGAAAGAAATTGAAGGAGAAACATTCTTTCTCACAAAACAAGATTTTTGCAATTTTGAATCGGTTCTCGATTATCAGAGCATAGGTACCTACCTAAATTTTTGTAAAGACATTGTCATAATTATTTTATTATTTAATTAGTTGAAATAATSTTTTTTTTTTCAGATGTGATAGGTGGAGTTGTACAAATAAAACCTATAATTTTCAGAAAGACTCGTGATGGAAATTATTCAAAGAAAAGGGAAGTTCTACTYATGGACAATAAGTAAGTTTCTATTGTATATTACAAATTTCAAATGATTTAGATACATACTATTTACCTAATCTTTTCTTATTCTTATTACATATATAGGCTGAGAATACAATAAAATTGACACTGTGGGACGAT